AGGGAACGCAGTGCCCCTTGGCTTGCACCATCCTCCTGCCCGGTACCTTTGAGCTGTGGCACAGCCAGCTGGGCGAGCCATTTATTGAGGGTCTTCCTCTTTTTCACCACCCTTCTATTTTACCAAGCACCCTGGTTTGTTTCCCGGCCTTTAGAATCCAGATAACATGTCCAAAGTATTAAAAATATTCTAATCGCTTGAGCCAGTAGAGCAGCGGTTCTCAAGCTGTGGGTCCTGACCCCCTTAGGGGTCGAATGACCCTTTCACAGGGGTCACCCAATTCACAACACTCGCAAAATTACAGTGATGAAGTAGCAATGAAAATCATTTTATGGTTGGGGAGGTCACCACAACGGGAGGAACTGTGTCAAAGGGTCGGAGCCTTTAGGAAGGTTGAGAACCACTGCAATAGAGCATATTAAAGATTAAATGAAGGTTTCTAAGTCCAGGCAAAGGACTTTTGTACCTAAATACAGAGACCCAACTGATGGTTTTAGAATAAGACTGACTAACATGTCAAATTTGTCTTTTAGGAAGGCTTTTCTACAAGTAAAACATAGATAGATTGCTGTTTTAATAAGTAGAAACCTGTCATAGTTACTTTGTATGATCACAAACCTGATGACCTAAAGAAACACGAGAGACGTGTAATTGGTTTAAAATTAATTTGGTAATTGCTGTCTTTTTAAGACCAGTCAATTTACTTAAAATTAGAGCAGTGTCAGAAGGTACAGGATAAGGAAAAGAAACGGGAGCAATTGATTATAAGATGAAACTGGGGAAACAGTCTTCCCCCAGTGCATCCACTTGCACTGCACAACTGAAGAACATCAGGATCTATGCTACGTGTTATAGATTGTAATTTTTCACATTTTGTTTATTTTTCCAACTTGAAATTTTCATCGTCAGTTGTAGCGCCATGTTAGGTATGTGCATAATACAGCACATATCTTGCTGAGTTGGCCATCTAAATATTCTGCAATTCTCTCCAGAATTTGCACCATCCTGGAATTGTAAACCTGGAATGTATGTTTGAAACCCCAGAACGAGTCTTTGTGGTCATGGAAAAGCTGCATGGAGACATGTTAGAGATGATCCTGTCCAGTGAGAAAAGTCGGCTTCCGGAGCGGATTACTAAGTTCATGGTCACACAGGTATTGTAACTCTTCTCTGACACTACAGAATAAAAACTCAGATAAGGAGATAGAAGCGCTGGTGCCTACTGAGAGAGGGTGGGCATTGATTCGAGTACAGAACACTACTGTTCGTTAAATCTTGATGGTGCACTTCTCAAATGATTGCAGTGAAAAGTGGGGGTGGGGCTACAGTTCGTCCAGGCATTGAACAAACACTGTTCTCTTCTATAACAGATACTTGTTGCCCTGAGGAATCTGCATTTTAAGAATATTGTGCACTGTGATCTAAAGCCTGAAAATGTGCTGCTTGCCTCAGCAGAGCCGTTTCCTCAGGTGAGAGACAGCCTTTTGAGGAATCGTGTTAAATGACGTCTAGGAGCATTTACAGAGTGCCCTACTGGTTTCAAGTGCACACCGTCTTCATGTTAGCCTGTCAGATTTACCATCGTCCTGTTCACACTTGAGAAAGCATTACTACTGCCTATGAGTATTAATACCCCAAATAATTTTAAATCCTGCTACTAATTATATGTTATTTATTTTCTTTAAGACTGAATTCCTGGATCTCAAGGAATAACTTTTTGGCATACAGACTTTTTGCAGTTCTAACCGGCGGGGGTGGAGGAGGGTCGGTTTGCAACTTTGGTTTGTGCTCTACGTGCTCCGGACAAACTCACCATTAAGTAGACTCTGAAGGGTGGCACTGAAATGGGAGAAACGGAATTTTCGTTGAGCCACACAGCCTACTTTTTTCCCTCTGTATGGCTACAAATTTTAAACATTTTCATCAAAACCTCTGTGAGAAATTTGTTTACTGAAAACAATAGGACCGATGGTTCTGGGGGGACATGGGAGAGGGGGAGTTGGGGGAAAGGAAATGGTGTTAACCAACTGGATTACAAGGGAACAACAAGTGATCCAAAATCAGTGCTTAGGAGGGTGTTAAGAGGCCTGGTAGGGATTGATCAAGGGCAATGTAACCGAGAGGAATTACTGAAACCCAAATGAAGGCTGAGCATGATAGGGGGACAAAAGGAAAGTAAAGGAAAGAAAGGAAAGAACTAGGAGGCAAAGGGCATTTGTAGAGGTCTAAATAAAGGCATGTTCATATGTAAATATATTTATATATGATGTTGGGGAAATAAGTCTATGTGCATATATTTATAGGTTTAGTATCAAGGTAACAGATGGACATTGGGCCTCCACTCAAGTACTCCCTCAATGCAAGAACACTCTGTTCTATTAAATTGGCATTCCATGATGCTCACCTTCCTGACATTGCTGAAGGCAAATGTGGTGAAGAAAGCTGATGGTGCCCAGGTATCAAAAGGTACAGCATCTGGGGTCTTAAAGGCTTGAAGGTAAACATGCAGCCATCTAGCTCAGAAGCAACAAAGCCCACATTGAAGAAGCACACCAAACTTTGTGATCACGAGGTGTTGAAGGTATCAGGTATCAGGCATCAAAGAACAAAAAATTCTATCATTGTGAATGAGGGGGAGTGCAGAAAGGGGACCTAAAGCCGATCTATAGGCAACTGCACATCCCCTTACAGAAGGGTCAGGGGGAGGAGATGAGCCAGTCAGGGTGCAGTATAGCAACGATGAAACATACAACTTTTCTCTAGTTCTTAAATGCTTGCCCTCCCCCCCACCACTATCATGATCCCAATTGTACCTTACAAATCCGGCTACACCAGAGGATGTACACTGGTACAGATAGGAACTGGAAATACAGGGAGTCCAGGACACATGATCCCTTCAGGACCAGTGGTAAGAGTGGCGATACCGGGAGGATGGAGGAAAGGTGGGGTAGAAAGGGGGATCCAATCAAAAGGATCCTGGGGGACAGACAACAGAAAAGTGAGTGAAGGGCAACACCAGACAGTGTAAGATATAACAAAATAATAATAATTTACAGATTATCAAGGGTTCATGAGGGAGGAGCGGGGAGAGAGAAGGAAAATGAGCTTATATCAAGGGCTCAAGTAGAAAGCAAATGTTCTGAGAAGGATGATGGCAACAAATGTACACATGTGCTTGACACGATGGATGTATGGATTGTTAGAAGAGTTGTATGAGCCCCCAATAAAATGATTTTTTTTAAAAATATGTTTACCTACACACATGTGATAACGCTTCACATATGTTTTGCATTCCTTAAAAAAAAATTTTTTTTAATTCTTGATCTCCACTAATTTCATTTCAAAATCTACTAAATGGCTCCTAACCCAAATTTGAAATACCTCTCATGGACCTAATGATGAGAAATTTTTGTTGATCATGGTCATGGTATTTGTAATTGTTTTTCAGGATTGCATTGATCCGCCAATCAGGCTGTCTACCTAGAGTATGTTTATGTAGAGTTGGAACATGAATAATTAGATAAAATGGCTAGAAGGATAACAAATGGCTCTTTCTTGTAAATACAACTCAGATTATCTTCCAAGGGGGGGAAAACATTTGAAAAAACTATTAAACTCCTTTACTTTTGAAATAGTAATCTTACGCTTCCTTCTATAATGTCTATGTGGTTAAAAGTGATTCCTTATCATTGTCAGGTCAGAAGGGGCCCACTGACTGTTGGCGTCATGTAGTAAATAGACACCTCTCTGGGGGATGGGCAACAGAAGGGTGGGTGAAGGGAGACACCAGGCAGTGTAAGATAAGATATAATAATTATAAATTATTACGGGTTCATGAGGGAAGGGGAGGGGGAAAAGGAAAATGAGCCGATTCCAGGAACCAAAGAGGAAAGCGAATTTTGAGAATGATGAGGGCAACAAATGTATAAGTGTGGTTTACACAATTGATGTATGTATTGTGATGAATTGTATGAGCCCCAATAAAATTATTTTAAAAACAAAAACAAAACGTGTCAGCATCCACATCCCAGAAATAGTTGTCAGTGTTTTAATGATGCCTCCATCTCTTGGTTCTCCAGCCACTGACTTTTACTGTTCTTTCATATAGGCCAAAATCCTTTTACTCTCGTTATCTCAATGCTTTTTGGTAGACATTTCAGGGGCCAAAGCATGGCTTCTGAAAAGTGCTTGGTATCTGCAGGCTCAGCATGGCTGTAGTTATGCATCACTAAAATCTGAAACTTTGCTAGGAAGTGAACATCAATAACGTTTTCTGAACTCTGCCAGAGCCATCACATTGTCACTGTCCGAGCATCTTCCTCTTTCTCACTGACCTGCTACTGTACCGGGCGTGGCCTTCCTTTTTGATGGACTGGCCTCTCCTGCTCATATGTCCAAGGTACATGAGAAGAAATCTCGCCATCCTCACTTCTAAGGATAATCCCAGAAACTGGCTGTTGCTCCTTTGTGCAGTCGCTAATGCCCAGATTAACAGTTATCCTTAGTGTAGATTAGTGATTGTCAATTTTCTCTTGACAATTTAAAGGATACATTTATTGAGTTCTTTCACGTATCCATACCCTGTGAAGCCACTGAAAAATGAAATGCCTAATTCGTGTTTACAAATAATAGCTTAGCAAGCTTCAAATGCCCTGCACTCATGTAAAAACTTCTGACTACCAGGACTGCCGTGCTTGTGTTGGCATTCTGGAAGCTAGAGTTCAGAACTGGGCTTGGTTTTGTTGTTGTTTGGTCTGGTTTTGCAATGAGTGTGTGGAAAGTTCTTCATAATTTGTTAGGAATTAGTCACAGGGTTGTAAAGGTGCTGTCTTTTGGAAAGTTGTGTTCTACAGTTTTCCTACCTACAGTAGCTTTGGCATTCAAAAATCAATAAAGTTCGCAAGTGTGCTGAAACGATTTTGAAATTTCTGATTTGATGTGCATGTGTAAATTTCATATTACCCTCTGGTTCCCAGGTGAAGCTGTGTGACTTCGGTTTTGCCCGAATCATTGGTGAGAAGTCCTTCAGGAGGTCTGTGGTAGGAACTCCAGCGTACCTGGCGCCTGAAGTTCTCAGGAGCAAAGGCTACAACCGCTCTCTGGATATGTGGTCAGTGGGTGTCATAGTCTACGTGAGCCTCAGTGGCACATTTCCTTTCAACGAAGACGAAGACATAAATGACCAAATCCAGAATGCTGCCTTTATGTACCCCCCAAATCCATGGAGAGAAATTTCTAGTGAAGGTAAAATGTTAATCCTGTAGTGTGCAAATCTGTGCTCTCAAATTGCCTTGTCTCTTGATTTTTTAATTTTTTTAGTATCTCCCACTTGACTTCCACATTCACCTGGTCTCACACCGGTGTTTGAGCACTCCTCCTGTGACAGCGTCTTTCCTTCCTCCTCTCTCTCCCGTAGCTGCCACCATATCAGTAATGCAGGCCCCAAACTCCTTATTTTGATTCTGCCAAGATACCTTTTTTATCTTTAACTAGTCTATCAAGCTCTTCTCCGGGCCTTCCCAGTCAGTCACCATTGCTAAGTACATCTGTAGGAAACACTGCTTTTATCTTACTCTGCTCCCAAACGTTTTGTCTTTCCTTGAAAACCCATTCCGTCTCTGTGATCTGCCCTCGCCGTTTCTCACATGAAGCTGGATCCAGACCACTGACACTTTAACTACTAGGCCACCAGTCTCCTTTACTCTTCCTCTAAATCATAAAATCTATCTATGCCAGTAGTTAGGTG